GCCGTTATTATGTATGTTATTAAATACATATCTTTAAAGCTATATCCATCTGGTACCACATTTAGGAGATAGATTTCTGGTCTTAAATCAAGATTCAGTCCCACATTTCTTGTATAACTTTGCGTATCATTTTCCAATAATTTTGAACTATCTTGCATTTCCACCACATGTGATAAAAGGTCCCCACATTTGATTTACATTTCCAGCATACATTGGATGTATTACTATAACATTTGGCTATTTTATCGGGGGACCAATACCATCTGTGGAACATTTTGTAAACATTTGCTTTATACGCTACTGCTCTCATTTTACTTATTTCCAAATTTTCACCCAATGTTCTATCTCTAAAGTTTTTCCCAAATCTTTTGTCCATGATATCATAACTTCTTTAATACTTTCGTCTATTTCAAAGTCATCCAATAAGAAACCATAAAGTTTCTGGGTTAGTTTATCGTTGGAAGATAACCAAATTTTATCAAGTTCATTTTTATCATGATCAAAACCCCTTACCATATCTTTGCTATATCTATCTCGTATTAATGTGTGTTCCCACCATGAAAGGTTATTTTCCTGTACCAATTTGTCTTCAGTTTTTAATTTGTTGTTTTTTTCCAGTAAAGCATCATAATTAGCTATTATGTTCTGCGAAATAAGTGTGGGTTTTATGAATGCTTCTAGTGGAGAGACCCACCTTGGGGTTTTCCTATAGAATCTCAACTTAATCTCATTCCAGATTTTATTTAATGCTCCCCTTATCGCATGTCTATTGAAATTGGAGTGCCAACCCATAAACAACTCATGCCCTTCCAGTATTAACGTTCTCTTATTTTCTAACAAAAGTCATTCCTTTATCCAAACAAGGGCGGCCGCTTCATAGTATAAGAACCAGTTTGGTACACTCATCCCCCCTTTTTCTTTCCTATCCTGCAGGATTTTCCATCTTATCCTTGCTTTTTTGGGATGCCACACAATTTTTTTGGTAATTTTATCTAGTTCCTTGAAAAAAGTCTGGTTCTTTAAAACAGGGATATTTTGTGCCAAGAATAAAAATCTAGGCAATATATTCATTTTAATTGCCGCAATTCTGCCCATGATAGATAAAGGTATATCCTTCCATCTTGACAAGTCCTTCTTGATTTCTTCTAACAATTTATAATAATTGTCCCCTATTAGACAGCTGCTTTTATTAATCAGGTTTATGCCTAGATATTTAGTTGATTTGACAAATTCCATCAACGTTAGTTCTTTAATTGCTCGTAAAGTATCTGATTGACAATTTTTTGATATAAGCTTTGTTTTCTTATAATTTATTTTAAGGCCTGCAACGTTGCTATACATTTTTATCTCCTCCAACAAGGAGAGTATGGATGTTCTAGGGTTCTCTAACATAAATAGTAGATCATCTGTGAAAGCCAAAATTTTAAATTCTTCAACCTTTATTTTGAACCCTTTTCTGTGATTGCTCTTTCATATGTTATTGTTCAATGATTCCAACGGAAAAAAAATCTATATTATTGGTAGCATCTCCATTTAAAATTATTTTAGCATATTGTTTTTTGTAAATGGCTTTAATCATAGTTAAGAAATACTGACCACATTCCGCTTTGTCTAACTTCTGCAAAACAAACTCCCATGATAAGTTATCAAAGGCTTTCTCCGCGTCGAGAAACATTAGAACCAACTCCTTTTCAGGATGTGTCTCATAATATTCTAGAATGTCAACAATCATACGTAAGTTGTTCTTCATATGCCTTTTTGGTAGGAACCCCCCTCTGATCTTCGTGAATAGTTTGGGATAAGACCTTTTAAAATCTTGTGGCTAAGATATTAGCGAATATTTTATAGTCACCATTTAATAACGAGATTGGCCTGTAGTTTTTAATTTCATTTGCCTCTGAGTTGGGTTTATGTATTAATGTAATTGCTCCATGGTTCCAGGACTCAGGTATCATTTCTGATTTTCCTATTTTTTGGAACAACTGTTTTAACAGGCTCACTATTTGTTCCTCAAAGATTTGCTACAGTTCCACTGTTAATCCATCTGGTCCTGGCGCTTTTTTCTTTTTTTGTTTCTTTATTGCGTCTACCATCTCGCACATTGTAATAGGTTCATTTAATATTTTCTTATGTTGGTCATTAAATACAGTATAATTCCCTTTTTCTAAATATTCTTTGATCTGTTGAACATCCTGATTTTTTTTGTTGGTAAAGTTCTTGGTAGAACTTTTCCACTATCTTCTTAATTTTTTCTGGGCACGTTCTCTCCATCATTCTCATCTTTTAGCTTACAAATATGATGTTTTCCCCTCTCCTTCCTGATTTTATAAGCTAACCACCTTTTAGGTTTGTTTATGTTTTCAAAGTAATATTGTTTTGTATACTCGATTTTCTTTTGTATTTCTTGATTCAACAGTAAGTTCATTTTATGATGGAAGAAGTTAAGTTTTATTTTATAGCCCCTTGTTTCATTATCATTTTTCATTTTATTTTCCAGTAGCTTAATTTGCTCCACTATTGCCTCATAATTCTTCTTATCTTGTTTCAATTTCCATGCATTTTGGCTAATAAATCACCCTCTCATACAGGCTTTAAATGTATCCCAAACTATCTCAATCCGCGTTTCTGGTTGGATGTTTCTTTTTAGGACGTCTACTATTTCCTCTTTAGTTTTTTGCATTAACTCGTTATCTCTAAATAGTCCTGTATTCAGTGACCACCTACTTTTAATCCGGTCTTCTTTTAGTGTTACTAGTAAAGGATTATGGTCCGCAAATGTTCCTGGCAAAATGTCACAGTCCACTAATTCCGGAATTATGGAATTACTTGATTATGGAGGCCCTTTAAATCTTACAGGAGGGGAGGGAGAAGAGCAGCTGTGGACTGCACATCTGAACTCCAAAAGGCAAATTCACTTCTTGGAATTCAATCACAGGCAACACACACTCACCAAAAAAAAAAAAAAAATTAAAGGGAACCATCCCTTTTAATGGGTTTTTTTTTTTTTTGCGAGTGGGGACTTCCAGCGCCTGAATTCAAAGCGGTGAATTCTCCACTTGGAGTTCAGGCTTGTGCAGTGCCTGCTTGCAAAAACCATTTAAAGTTAAATGGTTTTTGCAAGCGAGTGCCACCAGCGCCTTCCCAGGGCTGTGTCCCCAACATCAGTTATGCATGATGTCATCACATTGGGGATGTCCTCACCTCCTCCTGGAACACCCCCCCAAAGCCCCCCACCGGCAACAAGTAAGGACCTGGCAACCCTACACAATGCCAGTCATGGGTGCCTGACCTAACTTTTAGTCATGTGTATGATTGGGGGGTGGGGCTCACTTTCAAAGCATTCCATTGCTCTGTTCAGCTCAGGGGTGCTGCAGTTGGGGGAGGGGCTTCAGGCCTCCAACTTGCACTGGTATTACTAGTGAAAGCAGTCACAGGGGATTGCCCCTTCCTTAAGATGGGTGGCATCTGCAAGAGAAAAGAAATTTTCATGTTACAATCCACATAGAAAGAAATAGTCAAAAGAAGAATCCAAAAACCCAGAACACAATCTATATGGTTCTGTAACATTGGGACAGGATTTCCAGGTTTGTCAAACCAGCTGGCAGGGGATGGAGTGAACTTACTGGGAGCAGGGAGGGAGGAAGCTTGAAATAAACACAACGTTCCTACATCACTCAAAGTGACGTAGGCACACTAGGAATGTCAGGGGTGATGCTCTGGTTTGTAGGCAAAACCACCCCCACTTCATTGACATGCCTACGTCACTTCCAGGTGATGTAGGCATGTCACATTTATTTCTGACTTCTTTCCTGTGTGGAGGGGGAACAGTTCCCCTTGCTGGCCAGCTGGGCAGTGGCAGAGAGAAATGCCCTAAACTGGGGGAACCCCTGCCCACACCAGGGAGTCTGGCATCCCTACACTGGGGTGACCTAATGACACATAACTGTGTGCAGGCTTTTGAGTTCTCTAGAACTCTTCTTCAGGCTGATCCACATAGCACATACACGTAGAAGTGCTCACACAGAGAGAGTAAGTGGGTATAATTGACTGCAGCCCAGTTATGGACTATCAGTCATTGCTTCCCTTTTCTTTTTTACCAGTGTAGGTAAAGAGATCACATCCCTTCTAATATTTACAAAGTGCTGCAAAATGGTACTATTTTAAAGCAAGAGTTTTAGAAATTATTATCTGATGTGCTCTGGTATACAGCAGAATTGTGGGGGTAATATCGACCAATAAGTTAGTTTTTTCATGTAGGTGATTTCTTAATTTTTAGCTTTGTCATTTTATATGCTTTATGTATTTGCATATATGTTGTAAGCTGCCTCACAGGAGGATGTGGGAAATAAATATTTTAAATAAATAACATCATGGGTGCCAAGTCATGCTATCAGGGGGAAATATTGTCAGGCATATGGAACGTAAACTGCAATCTCAAAGCTTGGTGTGGGAACAGAAATAACATGCAACAGTATTAAAGCTAACAGTCCATATTTCAAATGTTCCCAGTGATCAAAATAGAGGGAGAATGTGTTAATCAGGATTACTCAGCAGATCTTCGTGAACAGCCCTGGCAGCAATCGTGAAAGCAGCTCAGAGGGGGAGAGAGAGAAGGAATTAGTCAGATTCGTTTATTTGTTGTGACTGGGGCGCTTGTGGACAGAGGTGTTTGCATTGCTGTCAGGAGGTCTGAGCACAGAATTCTGAAAGCTTCCCTGGAGAGCAGTGGCTCCTCTTCCAGCATAAATAATGAAGAATAAGCATTGACATTGCTGAGCTGGAAAGGGAATGTTGTGCTAAAAAGCTAGGTTGCGTGTGACAGGGGCATTAGGAGGGACACGAGAAAGGGAGCCTTGTCAGACATTGTCATCAACTTCCCGTCTGGCATTTATAACCTGTTAAAAAAAATCTCTTCCGAGCTTGCAGGTACAGATATGACTGCTAAGGAACGCTGGTTCAAATATTCAAAAGCCTGTGCTTAAAACTATGTTTGTTTTCAGGTAAACATCACTTTGCTGGACATTAATGATAACTATCCCGTATGGAAAGATGAACCCTACTTCATTAACCTTGTGGAAATGACCCCTCCCAATTCTGATGTCACCACGGTATGTGTTCAAGCAAATGCACTCTTTTTCCCCCTGAAGTACAAAATCAGCAGTTGAATTTTACTTTTTTAAACTTTTTCTTGAGAAGTTTTTTTAAATAAATGGGTGCATAAAACAAAGAACTGAGTACATGAAACAGTCAGTTCAAGCTGGACTCTGCAAATTTATTTGCCTTACATTACCAAATACAGAGACTTGCAAAAATGATTTGGAATCCAGGGTGGTAAAAAAAAAACAGTTTGCAGGGGGGTTTCCAGTGAAAATCAGGTAGCATAGGAAACTTTAAATAGCATCCCCCCACCTCAGTTCCCTGCATGCCCTTTGCAAAGGATGGGCTTGCAAACTAAGGTTGCATATAGTTTAGTCTGGAACACCTTTGTTATGCCAAGGTTTGATTGCAGACTTTCTCATAAACAACAAGTGCAAATGGTCACTCATTTCACATTCCAGTGTTGATCCCTGACTTTTAAAAAGTGATTGCCTGTGTAAGCCAGAGCCCAAATACCAACCCTGGCTTTCCCAATGTGAAAAAGGCATACTTCACTGTATTCTTTTTCTTGGTTTTTCCTTTCCTTTGAGGAGCATGCAGTACAGATAAATTATTCAAAGAAGTCTGTTAGTGTTACGTAGTAGGGGGTGATCAGCAGAAAGTGTGGTATAAACCAAGAATGTGCAGCTGGTATACTGCAGGCAACAAGAGGCACATGCATGCACATATACGAAAAGGCCAGTGTAAAGTTGAGGTGTGCATACTTCAGAAAGTGCAGAAATTCCTGCTTTATTACCTGACTCTAAAATTCAACATCAGTGATCAGCATCTGAAATCACAGATGCAGCATCGCTATCTTATCATTCACAAGTAGTTCAAATGAGTTAATATGACTAAATTATCTATTAAAACACAGGAGGGCCTGGCATGATGTGGTCCATGGGGTCGCGAAGAGTCGGACTTGACTGTGTGACTGAACAACAGCAACAAAAATCTATAAAAATATATGCAAATAAAATTGTACAAACTTTGTATATAGTATTATAATATCCTCATAATCCATCTTGGATTTGTTTTTTGCACACTTTAATGTTTGATGTTGAGTTTTAAAGTTATGTAATATCAGGCAACTTTCTTGTTTCCATCTCCCACAGAGTCCTGGACTCTGCAGTCAGGTTTCCTCAAGTAGTACCAGACCTTTAGCCATGGGACTGGCCAGGCTTGGGGAGCAGGAGCTGGAAACACTAGGCTTACACCTGGGTGGACTGGTTGATCCTGCAAGCTTCTCCTGCCAACCCAAGGCTTAAATAGGTTGACAGGGAAGCAGCTCCACCTGGTCTGCAAGCAATACCTGAGGGTCATCTTGACAAGGCTTAACTGGGGCCAGATTCCTGCAAAGAACTGCATCCGCTGGAACCAGAGTATGGCCCAAGAGGTGGGACATTGTCTGCAAACCTGCTGGTCTTCCTCCGCTCAAGCTTGCTGCCTCAGCTGCTCCTGCTGGGTGGAGGTGGATTCTGGTGGGCTTGTGGGCTGGGCTTGTACTTAGTTGCCCTAGAACCTGGAGGAACAGGAGGACATTGTGGTGGTACAGGTCCAGCTGCACACTCCTCAGGGGCAGCCTCTGGAACAGATAGGCCAGAGCCATCTACTATGCAGGGGTCTCCCAGAGTTCCTTCCTCTCCCCAGGTCATATTTCTGGTTTTTCAGGCCCTTTCTCTGAGCAGACTTTATGAGTGTGAGGAAGTACTTGTTGCAAAAGTGTCAAGCATCCCAGAAACCCATTTCCCAAAGTGTTTTATTATTTTGTAAATGTAATGACTGACTCATCTAGTTGTAAAGACTTGTGAATTGCCGATAGCCTCTTAACAATAATTATTTATTGCAATTCAAGACACAGCTGCTGTTGTATTAGTGACAAGAGGTTTGCAGTAAAAGGAAATTGTATAGGCTAAATCACTGACATGGCATTTAAGGCACTTCGACTTTACATAATGCAGCCCCCTCTCTGAAACATGCTTCATGTGTTGCTTCTCCCAGTGTAGGCATTAATACTAATATCAGGGGAAACCATGAAATAGTTCTTTCAGTCAGTCTTACTTTGATTAAAATGTCCTTTTAATGTACCACAGAGTTGCTTAGGAACAGGGTTAGGGTTAAATAACGCTCTGAATTGTAACCAGTAGGTGACATTTATTTATTTATTTACTTATTTTATTTTATTTGTATCCTGCCCTCCCTGCCAAGGCAGGCTCAGGGCGACTTACATAACATATATTGACTGATACCTTTATTTTATTACAATTATATTTATTTTAAGGGATGTTTCTCCAGTTTTTAGGGCTGTTTCTCTTGTTCCATTTTGCAATATAATGTAGTGAAGAGAATTTTGGTCTTGGACTGAAGTTTACAACTCCACTCAATCATGCAACCCACTAGTTTGAGCAAGCTTCTTTTTCCTCAGACTAATCCAGCTCACAGCATAATTGTGAACAGAAAATAAAACAATTCATTATTATTACTCTAAGCTCCTTGGAGGACAGTATATATATGTATAGCTACCCAAGTGCAAAAAATGAATACTATCTTGGTTGTAAAGGGTAAATGCAAGTGTCACTACTTTTCCATTTTCCACTTGTCACGTCTGTGACATCATCTTCATGTACTGTAAAAGAACGACCATTTATATGTGTGTACCCTTTGCAGATGATGTGTTTTGCTTATGTTTAATACTTCACTATCTTCACTTGCATATAAAATATAATGTGCTTATCTGTGCTAATCAGAAACTTAGTGTAAATTATCAGTGCTTTGAGGTATCCTCACTAGAGTTCCCTCAACTTTAGCAAAACCAAATTAAAAGTTAATGCTAATTCTGAGCTATTGTACCATCAGAGTCTGTCTGGAATCCCTTGGTTTATTGGCAAGTTAAGATAGGATATAAACATGGTTCCCTCAGAAGTAACAGCAGGGATACAAGATTCAGTGTGTGATAAACTCAGGACCCATCTCTGAGCCCTCCCAAAGCTATCCTAGAACATGAGTAGGGTTGCCAGGTCCCCTCCTAGTTCCAGCGGGGGGATTTGAGAGACGTTCCAGGGGTCTTTTTGTGAGCCGAGCATGTGGCTAGCAACCACCCCTCTCCCTCCCTCCTGCTAGATTTAAAGGGCCCTCCAGATGATCGGTGGGCCACGTGGTCCCTGCCAACCAGCTGAAGCCCTTTAAATCTGGCAGGAGGGGAGGGAGAGGGGTGGCCAGGCGGATGGTTGCACTTGGGGGCCAGGCTTCCCCTGGTGGCCAGCTGCCGGGGGCGGATTGGAGCCCCCCAAAGTGAGGGAAACCTCACCCGGACCTGGGGGCTGACAACCTTAAACATGAGAACCAGTCTGGTGTAGTGGTTACAGTGTCGGGCTAGGATCTGGGAGAACCCAGTTCGAATCCCTAATCTGCCATGGAAACTTGTTGTGTGACCTTGGGTCAGTCACACATTCTCAGCCTAACCTGCCTCACATAGCTGTTGTGAAAATAAAATGGAGGAAAGGAGAATTATGTAAGTCACCTTGGGTCCCAGTTGAGGAGGAAGTTGGGGTATAAATGAAGTAAATTTAAAAAGCATGTGAACCAGTAGAGAAGTTGCTGTGGAAGAGGTGTGGTTGGGCAGAAAGGGTCCTTATGAGAGTGCAATGGTGTGAAAGTTAGTAAGCAGCCCCTTCATATCTACTCAAGGGCTAAAGTTTCTGAGGGAACGCCAGTCTGTGGGGTTCCTCAAGTGCCATTCATGCACAGCTGACAGGATCCACTTTCTTCATGATGCACTCCCAAGTGGCTGTAAGCTGGTCAGACTGCATGGGTTTTCAAAGTACTTAAGGGTAGAATTGCCAACTGCCAGCATAAAAAAAGTCCTATTCCTTCAATAGAAGCTTACTATGTGGAAATGGGTAGTTGAAGCTTTTCATGGCATGGAAGTAAATGACATCAACTGGTAAACAACATCTCATTAACCGTCTTGTAAAAGTACAGGACATCCCCCCCATGCTGTTGGCAATGCTAACTTCAGCTAAACACTGAAGCAAGTAAGCCATAAAAATGTCTGTACTGCATCAGACCTTGCAGAGCATCAGATTATAGAGAGAGGTCCATCCTATGAATTAACATCCAAAGATACAGGATTACCATAATCATCAGTCATAGACCCACAAAAATCCCAGTTGCTGGGTGTCAAGGGGGCTATACCTCATGAAAACTGCTCAGTTCCTCAACATACTAGATGTTGTCTATTGTTAAACAGGATTGTCATAGATGAGATTTGCTTTCACTAAAATTCTCCAGCATCCTCTGTCTCTGTTTCCATAAAATACTGTTATGTGCACTGTATAGGATTCTGCCCCTCAAGCCTGTCCAGGAATGAGAGGGAACCCTATGCTTTTTCAATACATGAAACAACAACCCACAGAGGTAGGCTACCCTCTCTGGATTTCAGAACAATAAGCCACCAGAACCTCTTTTAACTAGAGTCCCCATCCAGCCTAAGAGCAAGGCTCAGACTCTTAGCTGGCATCTGGGTTTTACACATTAGCACCTTTACCTAGAGATGCACGCTTAGGGTGAGCAGAAGGCATAGGAGTTTAGCCTTGGAACTCAGTTACACATCAGAGACCATTTAAAAACAAGAATAAGTTTTTATTCAACACAGAGCATTGCAATTAGACCATAAAGATTTCAAAATAACAAACCTAAGGCAGTTTGCCTTGACTACACAGTAAAAGATACATATTTACCAACTTCAGGAATCCATCAGTCCAAATAGTCCAAGGGATTTTGAATAACAATCCCATCTTTGCACTCCATGTGCTTTAAGTCACAAAGCAAGTCTGTGTTCTCCAACAGACCGCATGGCAGGACAGCATTTCCAGGTGCAATAAACAAGCACAGAGCAGAGAGCTCACGAGCAGGAACAAGAACACAAGAGCAGCAGAGAGAACAGAACAGAACAAGAGCAAGAGAGAGACTCTCTCATAGGGAATGACCAGTTATAGGCCAATTCCAGTCACAATCAGCTGTGGCCATGCAGCCAACTGCGAGTGGGCAGGGGGGTGGCCAATTCTTGGTTGTCATGGGTGCAAATGATGGCTTTGCTCAGCAGATCAATGTACATCCTTTAGTACAGTGATTTTCAGGCTGTTTTCCAGGGACCCCTGGGTCTCTCAGAAGTTTATCAAGTTTTCTCAATGAGAAAATCAGTAATGAGGGACAAGTGACCCTGAGCAACAGCTTGCCCATAACTATCACTCTTCCCTTGAACAGGCCTGTAGCTAGGAATTTTTGGGAAGAGGGCACCGGGGTGCCAGGGGGTGCTAATGTAATTAACTGAGGGAGGAGGAGGAGACTGGATTTATACCCCGCCCTTCACTTGTAGTCTCAGAGTGGCTTACAAACTTCTTTCCCTTCCCTTCCCCACAACAGACATTAATTATACTCTGCCTTCCTCCCAAGTGGGGACCCCAAGTGGCTTACAACTTTCTCCTCTCCTCTGCTGCATCCTTCAGATAGAAGAAGGACAAAGAGGGGAGCTGTTAGGGAAGTTCAGGGGCAGCCAACCTCATCAGGCTGGAGCTGGCAGATGTGATGAAAGGGGCTGGCCCTGGGAGCATGCATCAGCCACATCAGCTCCTCCCTTGGTGAGCGGCTGCACACTCAGGAGGCAAGGCCGGGCTTGGGCGATGCAAGGGAGCAGCCACAAGCCGGACCACCCACTGGAGGCAGCTGAGCCAGGGAGGGGTGCCACGCTGGCTTTGTTCGCAGCCCAGTGGCCATGCCTCAGGACTGCTTTTCCTGGGACTACGTCACATGTGCTCCACCACCTCCAGGCCAGCCAGCTATCTTCTCGGCCATTCTGTGTGCAGCCTTCTCCCAGGAGGGATCAGGAGGGGAGAGAGGGGTGGGGGGACCGGGAGAGAGGGCTGCGGGAATCGGCTGTGGGGTGCATGGGAATTTGGGAGGGGTGGTGCCCCATACACCCTGCATTAGCTACAGCCCTGGCATGTACTCAGTTGCACTTTCAGTTCATGTAAGGCTATGATGAGACTCAATGAGCCTTGCCAGCCCCCTGCATGAACTGAGTTTGTGCCCTATAATGTTCTACAAAATCCTCCATAATGTACTAAAATTCCATGGAAGATATGTAGGAAGGAGGTTTGGGCAGAAAGGTTGCAAGCCATTGCTTTGGTAGATATCCATGTAGTCACTGCTTCGTTTCCTGTCAGGGTCCTCAGCATTCTACAGCACAAGGCTATGTTTTGTTCCAGTTTTAGCTCCACAGGGACTTTGGACCCTCTTGCCATTGAGCAGGTGTGGATCCCAGCTGATGAAAACAGCCCTTGTGCTGCATCTACACTCCCCTGCCTTTGTCATAGTCATATCTTGGTCTCGCCATTTGTGTTTGTGCACATGTTTGAGGGTTAGGGTTGTTCCTTTAAGTAAAAATTTGACCGGTTTCTGCTTTCTCAGCCTTGCTTGCGACCTCCGTCAAGGACCTCTCTGAAAGGCATTGATTTAAAGTCTTTCAAATCCCTCTGGCAAAATAAAAGAGAAGGAGAGGGAGAATTATTCTCCATCACACTTGGAGAAAAATGACGGGCGTGAAACAGAAAATAAATGAGGGGAAAGCGAAGAGAATCCACAAAATCATCAAACAGGAAAGACTGTGTTTAAAAAAAATACCATAATGAAACATTAATCTTTTGGGGAGGAGGGGAAATACCAAAGGGCTCCAGTCCAAGTTCACTGTATAGAAATAAACTCTCCATTACATGATCTGGCCTTTGAGCGCTCCCTCTCTCCCCCTCCATGAACAAGCTTTGTTCAGTGGGTGCTCCATTAATCCGGACATGATTCTGGCTCCTTGTACTTCTCTTTCTGTTGGGAAAGATGTGTTGAAAAAATACAACCGGAAGCATCATTGTTTAATAACATATGAAATCCATTCTGCATTTGCTGATCAAATATAATTTATTTCTGTGTAATTAAAAAGCTTAATGTTTGCAGCTAGTCACTTTCCAGCCATAGATGGTCAATTGCAAGTTGATTCACAGAAGTAAATCCAGCCATCTGCTTTCTACCCTGAAGTAACTTTTCCAGTCCTGTGGGCAGATAACCACACATCATTTCTTTATTTAAGTGATTTATACACCACCTTCTGCTCCCATCTGCCCCCCCCCCCCGCAGCTAATACAATCATAAGCAAAAAAGGTTAAAACTTTAAAAATTCATGAAACGTTGTAACATCATCACAAAACAATCCTGAAGATTTCGTTCAAGAGGACAAGGCAGCATCCAGTAGTCAGTCAGGGGCAAGGAAAGTGACGCATCAGAAAGACCCACCCAAACACACACACACTGCAACCCCGTTCCATTTGTGGTGGTGGTTGCTACCCCTACTCCTATTGTGTCTGTTTCTTAGTTATCTAGGCAATTTATGAAACATGAAATAAAAGGCACCATGCTCTCAGATGACTAAATCTACTAAATAATAACAACAAGCGTCTCAAAACCAGAGCAGTTAAAGTGAACTGGCAATGTGGGAAGTGTGCCAAAAAAGGTGTAGGTTTTTTTTAAATTATAATTATTTTCTTTTTGGTGGGAAATAATCTAAGGTATCCCAGGAAACTCCCTGGTGTGGGTATTTCAGAAGGTGGGTACAAGCACAGAGAAGGCCCTGTTCTGTATCAGTCTCACCAGTACAAGAAGAACAGTAGCAAAACATTAGCTGTTGTAGATTTTTCGGGTTGTATGGCCGTGGCCTTGGCATTGTAGGACCTGACGTTTCGCCAGTAGCTGTGACTGGCATCCTCAGAGGTATAACACAGAAAGATTGGCAGTGGTACCACTTTCTGTGTTATACCTCTGAGGATGCCAGTCACAGCTACTGGCGAAACGTCAGGTCCTACAATGCCAAGGCCACGGCCATACAACCCGGAAAATCTGCAACAGCTAACAAACTCCGGCCGTGAAAGCCTTTGACAACGTATAGTAGCAAAACAGCTTTATCAAATTTCAAAGGATGGCAAGGAAAACACAAGCCATGGCACTGTCGAAGGCACTTGGGACCCCAGACTTTATTTGGAGCTGCACCAGAAGTCTCTGATAGCAAAGATTGATGACAGAATCCAAGTCAGAGTCTTGAACTCCTTAACTACAAGTCAGCTGGGCTCTTTGCTGCCTATTTAGCTGAAGCATGGAATGCCAGTCAGGTGGGACAGAATGGCAAAGCGCTGATTTCCTTGACTTTAATGATTTGTTAACTACTCTGTGTGGTTTGTGTGTTGTTGCACTGCAATCAGGGCCAGATTTAAGGCCAACTGATGTCCTAAGCACAGCCAAACAATGGTGCCCCTCGGCCCTTCCATTGCTTAAACTGACAAGGCATTAAGACTCAATAAGTGCTGAAGGTGAAATAAGAGATTAAAAATTCAGTTTTCTTCCAGGCCAGACCCCCAGACTAGACCCCACAGCCATATTAAATATAAACTTTAGAAAAAGTATTTAACACTAAATAGCAGTAAGCAATATAAGCAAATTATTTACTTATAACTAGGGCAACAGAAAAAATGCAAATTTTCCCACACTTTTTAATGGATTTTTAAATAAAATTGTTGTAAGGGGGAAAATGCAAATACAAATATTTATTGAAAACTATTTTTAATTACCCTCCCAAAGATTATTAGGCAAAGTATGATCTGATATTATCTCTACTGAAATTACATGACCTCAAGAGCATACTTTTCAATTTCTAGAATCCTCTTTCTTCAGAAATTGATGTTGGTGGACAATTTTTTAAAAAAGATATTCTAATGGAGAAATATAATTATTTGCATGAAACAAAACATTGTTTATTCCATTGCTTTCTACCCTTGAAAATATATAGCATGCAAAATAATGCATATTGTTGCCTACTTATAAATTTATACTTTAAAAAGTTTTCTCCCATTTTTTTAAATTGCAAAGTGCATGATCAAGTCCTCAGAACTAAGCTGGCCTAACAAATCTGCTTCTCTACTTAGCAGAGACAAGGCATACAGCCTGCCTTGTCCCATAAATGCCCCTACTGCCTCCCCCTTCTCGGTGCTAGTGGTTCCACTGCCAATCGTTTCTTATGAATAGCCATAACAGAAGGAATTACTGAGACAAATATTTCATCTTCAAGGTGCTCCCCTTTCCTTGGTGCCCTAAGCACTTGCTTATTTTGCTTAATGATTAAATCCAGGACTGACTGCAATAATGACTATTGCTGCACCAGTTGGAAAGTGCAAGGACAGTCTCATCAATGAGATCCCGGGTCCTAGATGCAACAGAGCATGGAATTGGAGTAATGCTTTTCATCCACCATGTTTTTCATTTCTTACCTCAGTTTGGAGTCAACTGCGCAAATGCATTCAGAAATGAAAAATAGTCTATATAACATTCCTCTCTTGATCTCTTGTAGGTGGCAGCCTTTGACCCAGACCTAGCAGAAAATGGTTCCCTTGTGTACAGCATCAGACCACCAAATAAATTCTACAATCTTAACAGTACCACAGGGAAGATTCGGACAACAGGAGTTATACTGGACAGAGAGAATCCAAATCCCCAGGAAGCTGAGCTCATGAGGAAGATTGTGGTTTCTGTTACTGATCGTATGCTTGTTTTAGTTGCTCTGTGCACTCCTTTCCACCTAGTTAACAATCATCTTTTGCTATTAGTGTAGGACTTGCCTCCCCATTCTCACATATTATGTACTTATGCTAAAAATGCAACTTTTTCCTATAATAATAATAATAATTGTGTTCACTGAAGTCACAACTGATCAATAGCAACCCCAGGATCATGGGGTTTTGCCGTCCTCTGCATACAATCCCAGTATTAATTGGTGCATCCCATCTAAGTAAAAACCATGGCTGACCCTGGTTAGCTTATAAACTCTGATGAGATCAGACTAGGCAGGGCTATTCAGCCTGCTAACGTTTCCCTCTCTGATTGTGTGATTAAGTGCCATCAAGTCTCTTCCGACTTTTGGTGATCCCATGAATCAGTATCCCCAAAATGTCCTATTGTTAACAGCCATTCTCAGGTCCTGCAAACGGGGGGGGGGGGGGGGGGGGGGAGGCTGTGGCTTCCGTGACTGAGACAATCCATTTCATGGTGGTTCTTCCTCTTTTCCTGTTCCCTTCAACTTTTCCTACCATTATTGTCTTTTACAGTGAGTCTTGTCTTCTCATAATGTGACCAAAGGACAATAAGGCTCAGTTTGGCCATTTTAGAGTTCAGGCGTGATTTGATCTAGAACCCACGTAGAACTTCTCACTACAATCTATTAAATAACTTTGTCACAACAAGACCAGCAACAAAAGTAGGCTGCTTAAGGTCCCATAATTTTAAAACTTTTGTTGTTGTTCTGTGGTTTACTTTTAACTGTTTTGTTATGACGTTGATGTTTTCCAAGTCTGATTTCTAAACAAAAGTATACTACCATTTAGCTGAGGAGGCCTTGAACTGGTTTAGGGAGATTTCGCTATGGCAAAATCTTGAAAACGCTTCTTTAGGATGTTCACTGGGAAAGGGTGCTTGGTAATCCTGAAGCTGCATTCTTTCCTGATCTCTGCAGGTGGGAGACCACCCTTACGGGCCACGAGTAGTGCCACTGTGTTTGTCAACTTGCTGGACCTCAACGACAATGACCCCACTTTCCAGAACTTACCTTTTATCACGGAGATTCCTGAGGGTCTTCCAGCAGGATCATCCGTCTTCCAGGTGAATCTTCTCCTTTGTCCCCCTCTGTTTCTACAGTGTACTAGATGAATGGTGTTTTAAAATGGATTGGGATGGTTTATGCCACAGATTGTTACTTACATAAGGGTTGTTTGCCCTTTTTCTCACAGCATCGTGGTGTTTCTGTGCTCCTCCTGAGTTTTCCCCATCTCTCCAGTTATATTTCCCATGGCTTTGGGGAAAGATCATAGCAAAGCTGGGGTGACACCCATGTGGACAGGAGAGTCCAGATCTTCCTGGTCCTGCCCACACTGGTGCCGTTTTCTGTCCCCCATGGCAGAAACCCCTTTGCCACACAGTGTGTGTGTGTGTGTGTGTGTCTGTGTGTGTCCACTAAATTTGCAGTTGACATATCATTATAGCATTATAACAATCTGTTCTTCAGGTTTTCTAAATTCCCATCTTGCCTTTTTAAAAATAAAAGTAAATTTCTAGCCATTGTAGGAATATGCCTTTCCCCTGATACTTGTGCCAAAAAGAGCCTAGAGCCTTACTTCTATTTAAAGTGCAAGCTGGGAATTCAGAGGACCCAAGGGTCAGATTATTTTATGTCAATGGTCAGTTGTTTTTTTTAATGAAAAGTGGGGGGGCATGGCTGCCATGGGGGCTAGGGCAGGGAAAATGTGGGAAAACTTGCCACATGAAAGTCCTGTTGCCGCTGTGCTGTGGCAGCAACTGCGGCAGCTACTGAGAAACTACACCAGCCTCTCACTTATGTTAAAAACACTGGTGGGTGGTGTCCACAGTTAGGTTACAGCTTTCTCTGGACTGGAGCCAACATCCCAGTCCCAACATTTTTAAAAAATATCTTGGCAAGGTAAATGGCTCATATTTCCTTCAGGTGGTCACACCTGGTGCTGTCCACGTTACTCCATATTAGAAAATCCCAGGGGAGAACTAAACACAAGGAGGGGGCCCTGACTGGAACCCCTTGGTACATTTAATCATTAACCAGATGCTACTCATAGAGCTGAAAGGACTCGTTCCTCTCTGCCCTGAAGATTTTCTTTCCTCCTAGACTCTTTCAGAACAGGGTGAACGTATTCCAAGAAGCAGAACTGCCAACACTTCACCAACATTTCCCTCAGTGTTTCACTTGGATTGCCCCAGTAGCTCCTAGATGTCATACCTATGTTAGCAATTTAATGCTTCTGGGCTAAATGAAAAATCATTTTGAATATTTTGGATCACAGATGCTAATTAGCTTTCCCTCTCCCTATACCAACAAACATGAGAGAATATAAATGCAGCTGGTATAGCCATGTAATGGGGGGGGGGGGCAGCCGGCACAACCTATAAAAAGCAGCTACTGAGTTTTGTACCAAGTTGTGAGAAATAAGGCATTACACTGCCAGGATCTGAAGCTTCTGGCTTTGTCTTCATGAAGATGAGCTCATTGGACAGTCATACCTTTCTTTTGCTTTCTGTTTTAGGTAGTAGCCATTGACCTTGATGAAGGCCTGAATGGTCAAGTGACGTACCGTATGCAGGTGGGAATGCCAAGGATGGACTTCCTTATCAACAGCAGCACTGGCCTTATAAACTCCACAGCTGTTCTGGACCGGGAGAGGATCGCTGAGTACTACCTGCGGGTGGTGGCAAGTGATGCCGGAGTACCGTCCAAGAGTTCCACCAGCACTCTCACTGTCAGAGGTGAGTGAAAGACTGAACCCTTCTGGGCACAGTCTCGCTGTGTCTGCTAGCTCATGTCTCAAATATGTTTTTATCATGAATTGTTGTCTGTAAGTTTTGCACGGTATCATTGTGATGTAGTGGTAAAAGTGCTGGACTGGGATTTGGGAAACCCAGGTTTGAATCCCCCCACTCTGCCATGGAGCTTGCTGGATGACCTTGGACCAGTCACACACTCTCAGCCTAACCTACCTCACAGGGGTGTTGTGAGGATAAAATGGAGGAGAGGAAAAAGATGTAAGCCACTTTGGGTCCGCACTGGGGAGAAAGTCAGGTATAAATAGAGTAAATAAAATAATAGAATAATTTCTTGCTGCTTTTCATCCTTCAGATGGCTTATGATGTGAACTAAGTTGTGGGTTAAGTAGCTGTGTGCATTTTGCATTGATGAATGAATGAACAAAGAGGCATCCAAAGCTCAGGGTTGGGAAGTTCCCTGGTCTTTCCTGTTGGGGCAGTCTCAGAGTCAGGGTATGTGTAGATCGGAAGGTAGAGAACTGACTAAACCAAACAGTTTGCATAACCAATTTCTAATTTGTACTGAAAGTTGCAAACATCAGCATCCACACAAATTTGTCACAGTATACTAGACTCGGAAGTTCTCTGCTCCCCACTACCCCTTTGTTCTTGTCATCCCAACAGCATTTGCTTTAAGAGATAATCTGAAGCAGCTAGACTTTTTGACACCAAGGAAAGCCTGAGTCATTTTCAGTTCCGGTTTCTGGTGCTGAAGTTCAGAATTTTTCCTCCAAACTAATAAACTAAGAATGTTTACTCAGTGTATTGAAGGTGAAATTGAGTAAGGGTTTCAGTGGCTAAAAAGCCTTGGTTAATTTTGTCTTCAATAACTTGGTGAACTCTCTTACTGCAATCCAGTGCAGAGTTACTCCAGTTTAAGCCACTGAAATCAATGGGGTCAGACTGGAGTAACTCTTTGTAGGGTTGCATTGTTATAATGCCATCATAAGCAGGGTTATGCTGTTCTAAGCCCATTGACTTGAATTGACTTATTTATTCAACTTTTACTTCATTTGTAGTCCATTTTCTAGCTGAGAAGGTGGGTTAAATTAAAAAACAATTCAACAGGAACAGTATAATACATACAACAAACAATGCGATAAAACTTGATTACAAAATAAGAGAATGTATAACTCTGCTTGGGATGGTAGTGTTAGTGTATTAGTATGGAGGAGTGTGGCTCTGAGCATAGGAACCTGAAATGCATTCGGCCAGTGCATTCCTAGCTACAAAAGTATGCATCTTCGGGATGTATAGAAATAAAAGAAAAATAAATGATCCCTGGTTGTGAAGAACAACTGAAAAGGAGGAAAGGGAGTAATGCTGCTAACTGCACAAGTGCAAAAGCAGCACATACAAGTTACTCAGCTGCCATGTCAAATGCTGCTGTTGCAGGTTGAGATTGACCATTGATGGTGATTTTTATGAGGTTCTTGGCAGGCATGTGTGATGCTGATCCTACTTGAAAAGTACTGAGACTTACTAGTGATTTCAGCTCTCATACTTTATTTTAGCTCAGAACAAGACGAGAGTACCCAGCTCGCAGGCTGGTTTATATGTGCACAAACCCCGCTCCCCAAACACACCCACACACAAGTGATTGGCTATTTACAGTGGCCGAGAGTTCCATAGGCTCTCAGCCAGGAGCCTAGCCTGCCGATAGGTGCCGGCTAGGATCCGCTTGTCCCATTGTTACTGAGAATGAAGCTCGGTCGCTTCGCCTGACCACGTGGCAAAATGGCCACGCACGCGGTCTGATATGGATACATTACACTACTATTCATGCTACCCATGCAGCATGCGAGTCATTACAGTAGTGATCCTTCCCACACGGCTAGGGTAGTATGAGAAGCCCCATACTGCATTAGCAGAGCCCACGGTATGGCTCCTCCTCACACCAGCATCAGCCACCAGGAAACAGTCAATGCAGAGTACAAAGGAGCCACAACTTGAGCTAGGTTGACATGGCCCCAGCCTTCAGTGGGAAGGAGTGACACTGCTGCATTTCTTAGGTCACTGCCATAAGAGACTGGGTTATCCATGTTCACATTATAGTGCATTGACTCGTTATGTGTGTGGTATAGCTATGGTGATGGTACTAAGAAATTTATGAGATTTGGAAGGGTTCAGATGGTAGCATTTTTTGGACCAACAAATCACTTCACTGAGAGCTCTCATTTGAGCCACTTTGGAAGCTGTTACTATTAGTTTGTGGTTTTGGTTAGATAAGTAATAATCTCCACTTAAATTTTGCACAAGAACTGAATAGCTGGTTGACTTTTTTAACCTAGAAAAAATTATATGACTAATGGCATTTGCTCATAACTCTCAAATATTTGTAACTCTGGAGCTCCTACTGCCAATTATGTAGCTTTCCCCAAAATATTTTGCCAGCTAGGTCATTTACACTTTCTCCAAATATCTTTCCCAGGTGTCAGACAGTGTGAGAAAAACTTGGCTCCTGGTTGAACTCCTAAGAACTATAATATATAGTACAAGTAGAACAACCAGTGACTGACTAGTATTAATGGCCAGTAGTGTGTCTTTTAAGAATGCTGTATAGTGCCTGGGGCAGAGCCTAGAGTCATCCTTGATCAAATTCTCTCTTGTAGTTTTGGATGTGAATGATGAGAACCCTACCTTCTTCCCAGCTGTCTACAATGTATCACTTCCAGAAAATATTCCTCGTGATTTCAAGGTGGTTCGCCTGAACTGCACGGATGCTGATGTGGGTCTCAATGCAGAGCTCAGTTATTTCATCACAGGTATGTGATCTTTCAGGAAGCCTCTCCAGCTAACAGTGCAGCCATTTTGTTCATGGGCAGCAGAGAGCATTGCTGTGTTTTTCTATCTTTTTCTTTCAGATTTATAGCCTACCTTATCCCAAAAGTTCAGGGTGGGTGACACTGAAAAGCGTTAAAAATCCTGCTAACACAGAATAAAACTGGATTCCCACTTAGTTGACTAAAAGCTCAGTCCATCTCCGCACCCTCCCCTTAACTCCATGCAAAGGAAACTACCACATACTTCTGCTTCCCTCCCCTCTCCTTCAGCATTATTGGGAAGAGATCTTGGCTGCTCTAAACTCTACCCTGCTCCCTCTTCTAGCTTTATGGATGTGAGAACAATCTTTTGCTTACCATATTTCCACCAGTAGCATTTTCCCATGGGAATGTGTTACACTGCTGTCAAGCAGAGTATTGGTGCAAGTAAGCAAACAGGAAATGTATGTAAATCAAACAGCCAAAGGGGCTTTTCATTTGGCTGATGGATTTCCAAGGCTAATTTGCATATGTTTTCCTATGATGCTTTGCAAATGATAGCAGAGCTGTTTTGGGCTGTTGGCAACTTGGAATTATCTATGCTTCATCAGACTCAAAAGAGTCATCAGCTGTTTTATGTCTACTATATGTAGATATGACAATTTGAGGAAGGTGTTGTGGGTGAGCTCATTTGCAGTGTCTGCTGATGTGTATCCAGGCGGGCTGTATTCTGTTGCAGAAACGGATGTAGGAGGCTTAGGAAAATAAGCCTCCAGCTACTTTATAGAGATCTGCTACCATATCAGTTATGCTGAGGATTGTCTCCTCAGTTTCGTCTAGGTTTTTGTTTAATATGATGCCCACTGCAGAGTAGAGAAACCACCTATAGTTGGCCATGATTTCCAGAGGCATCTAAATCATCTCCTCTCAAACAGGGCCTTCTCTAATCACTGGATGCTTTAGGATGATGGTACCCATGAGGCTGTATTATCTCATTAACTTCAGTGGAAGATTCAAGTATGTGGTTTTGGGTATGCACAATTTGTGACCCACCAAAGTAAATGCAGCCTACGTACTGTGATCTTCATATGCTTGACAACAATTCAACCCCCTCCCCACTGCCATTTTTGCTGCTTCAGGTGAATGGCAGAAACACTTTCTGATTACCTCCCTCATGTAGCTGTTAGGCTGTGTTCACCTTGGTGGGTCACAACTTGGGGTTGTTTTTGTTGTTGTTGTTTTGCCATCAAGCCACAGCTTGCGACCCTGTAGAGTTTTTAAGGCAAGAGACATTCAGAGGTGGTTTGCCATTGCCTGCCTCTGCATCATGACCCTAGTATTCCGTGGAGGTCTCCCATCCAAATACGTGCCAGGGCAAACCCTGTTTAGCTTCTAAGGTCTAATGAAATTGAGCTAGCCTGGGTTATCCAGGTCAGGATAGATCTCTTATATCACATTGACATCAATTGTACACATGCTTTCCTCTCCCACTGAGATCAGTGATCTATATACATAGCTCAATTTAGCTGATAACTACCCTAAATAAATGTTTATTATGTGGCTACCCTATAACTCCACTTGGACCATCCTCATTGGATGATTATTTATTCTAGTTCAGTCCAAGCCTATGGAAAGGGCGTAGGCTTAGAATGCATAGGACAGTGCTGCTAGGCTAGGGATAGTCCACAAATTAGTTCCAAAGGCTCCAAAAGTTGTCCATTCTCGCCCTCTGCTGTCTAGAGTCTTCTATGACACTCAAAATCTTTTTGTACCTTTACTTGCTACTTTCTTGTTCATTCCCCAGGTAACAAGGAAAGTCAAGAATCAATAATTTTGATAAAACAGTATATGTTCAGACTGTGAAATCCCAAAGACATTTTAAGTAAATGCAGCTGCAGTGCTGTCAAAAGCAATCAATTTAGCCTGAAATGAGATTCTTGCAATTCTTCCTAATTGGGAGCCCCAGCAGTGGCCTTACAGGCTTCTTGTCATACCATATACATTTTGAACAAAACATGATTTTGCAGGTACAGATGGGGGATTTATCACACAATCCTCTGAAATGTAGGCAAATCTTTTACAATCCCAGTCCATAAGGGCATGGATGCCGTTGCATTTTTGCCTCTTCCATGAAATGTAGTGGAAGGTATTTTCTGTACTGCAGATTGAAACTATTCAAACCTGTCTACCTGTCATGGGCAATAATCAGGAACTCCAGGGACTGTAGTATAAAGGACATAGGCACTGCTAATGAAGAATCCTCAGCTTTCTCACCAAACTGTAAGGGCCAGCAAAACCACAGTAATCAAAAATTATTTGAAATCTGCCTACATTTGTAGCATAGATACAACCAGAAAGCATGACATCTCAAAGGATTATATGTTCTTATCAAGTGTTTGAAACAGGCATTTCTGAATACATTTTGCAATTTGACACTTTGATAATGAGCACCTTTGTGGTGCATATTAGCATAAGCTGTCACTAACTTTTTTGTTTATTGACATACAGCAATCAAAATTAAATTGGTAAAAGGGGTTTTTTTAGACAAAGGCACACTCCAAGAAAAACAATGTGACTAAAGTGCTGTAGATTTTTAAACTTAAAAGGACCCGCCGGGAGCATAATAAATCATTGTAGAAGAATCATTTATTGTGGGGAGGGGGTTTCAAGAAAAATATCCTTATAAGAAAGGAAAGGGATTTCCGCTGATCCTAATATATTTAGCATTTCAGTAATTTATAAAACATGTCCAAACCTCTTTCTAATTCTCATTCCTCTGTTGCCTTTTTTTTTACTCAAACATGATATATAGTCCCCCTCATAACTGCCAGCTCCCAGAGTGGGCAGTTTGGTGTGGTGGTTAAGAGCAGTGGACTCTGATCTGGAGAACCGGGTTTGATTCCCCACTCCTCCACATGCAGCCAGCTGAGTGACCTTGGGTCAGTCACAAGCTCTCTCAGAGCTGTTCCCTCAAGAGTAGTTCCCTGAGAGCTCTCTCAGCCCCACGTATCTCACAGGGTGTCTGTTGTGGGGAGAGGAAGGGAAAGGCAATTGTAAGCTGCTCTGAGACTCCAAGTGAAGGGCAGGATATAAATCCAATCTCCTCCTCCTCCTCCTGTTTTCCAATATCTGGCATATATTATTCTGGCTGCACTTCCTATGGAAAAGAAGCATCTCATTTCCTGAAAATTGTACCTTTTAAGATTGGATTTCAGTGTTGTTTTTATTTTGCTAATTTAGTATCAGAATTTTGTAGCTTTATCACAGAGCCATCCATAATATACTCCAAGTATCACATTTCCAACACTTATTGCTCTTATTGCCATGAATTTTAGATAATGCATAGGGCTGGGTTAACATTTTATAACAAATTTTTCCTTAGGGCAAAGCACAAGATCTACCTATAGATGCTTTCTCAAATTTATTTTCAAATGTTAGGTTGTACCTCTGTTCCCAGCTGATTAACCCTTGTACATACATAATTCAGGCCATTATCTTTCTCCTTCTCCAACAATATTTGATAAATTTGTGGAAGCCTCATTTGTCCTAGCTATAAAAGTACATTATAAAATAGACTGGTATGCACAGAGTGATGCTGTCAAATTCTAGGTGTGCCTACTTCTTTATATGTGTGCACAAATAGATGGAGAGGAATATGAACTATGAAGGTGTTTTTCATAAATGATTCTGAATTTCTTGGTTCCACAATTCTTATTTGCAGAGTGTTTAAGTTTCAGCACCCTTCGTTTGTTGACTTTCTTTCTTCTGTAGGTGGAAACCAGGATGGGAAGTTCAGTGTTGGTTTTAGAGATGGAGTAGTTAGAACAGTCGTCAGTTTGGATAGAGAGACTGTGCCATCCTATACCCTCATCCTCGAGGCCATTGGTAAGTATGTCTTGTGGACTTGCATTCCTGTTATCTAAGCAACTGACGCCCATTCCATTCTGCATCATTTGGGATGCAATGAAGGAAGCATTTTCAAAGGACTCATACAAATTAATGATGCAATGTTTTGTTATGATTTCTAAAATTTTCATTCCATTCCATTGGTAGTGTCACCCCTGTGATGACATCAAATGGCTTTTCTCGACCATGAAGGTTTCTTTTTTTAACTCTCCATGTTCTGGAGAGGGGCCACTTTGTAGGTCTGGACAAAAGAGAGATTCTATATCTTGTTAACTTGATTGTTAAAATATTCCCAGACTTATTATATAGGCTGCGGTCACACGGCCAGGAAAATGCGGGGGGGAAGCGTGGCTGTTTCCCCCGGGGAAAATCAAAGCGCGGTTGCACGATCAGACCTCCCATGGAGGTCCCGTGGAGGTTCCGTGGAGGTCCAGTAGTTATGGGGAGGTGCGGATCACACGGCAAAGAAGCAGGGCCTCGGGGCAAAGAAGCGGGGGCCGCGCGCCGAGGGAAGGCGAGGAGGGGGCTGCCAGAGACAGCCGGCCAAGCGGCGCTGGGGAGAAGAGGGGCCAGCTGCCGACTGGGTGGTGTGGCATCATGTCAGGCACGGCGTTTTCCCCACCAGTGAGGCAGGCAGGGGGTGGGCAGAAGGTCTGGAAGGGCATCAGTCTGGGGAGCTGGCTGGTGGGGCGTGCGAAGAGAGCAAAGCAGCATAGCCCAGCCCCCTCCGCCCTGACCGCCCCTCCGCCCAAGCAGACGTCCTACTCTGCCGCCGCGCCCCCCCCTCTTCTGGGCTTCATCTTCTGCCTTGCCCCCTTTCCCCCATCTGTCGCTCGCCGCCTCAAGCCATGCACTCGTTGGTGCTGTCTTCTGGCTGCTCTCCTCTTCTCTGCACGACGTACGTTGTGTTTTTTTTTATTAAACATCCGTTTGCGCATGCTCCGTTTGGTGCTTGTGCGCAATCGTGGAGACTCGAAAAAAAACACCTTTTAGCTAGGGGACATGGGCGGGCGCTGGAACTTCCTCCGGAAACACGGTCATACGCCCGCCCTTGCCCCGCGGTTTCTGGAAACTAGTACCTCCACGGTACTAGTTTTTTACTCCGTGTTTTTGGCGTTTAGCCACGGGTTACCGACGGGAGCTCTACACTTGCCAGATGTTGCCCTGTGATCGCGCCAGGAAACTCCGCCTCTCTTCCGTCTCTGAAGTGTGGCTTATGCTCCGTGTGACCGCAGCCATAATTGAATACACTAAGTTGCCAGATACATGTTTGTAACATAGATTAGTTAAGACAAGAGGCATGACCAATGGGACATAAATGTTTAAGAGGACTGGTCTTTGATGACAAAGAATATCCTATGAAGCACACATTTAAGAAAGAATACCAAAGAAGTTGTAGGGTTTGGCATTTTCTGTGGTGTTTAAAATACTGATGCTTCATACATGAGACCTTATTCAATTCATAGCCTTTCCAATAATGCTGAAACAAAAAATTTAAAGCAATGGCAAACTCTGTAAATAAACACTCAAATTTTCTACAATATTTAATCCTAGACACAAAGAAGATTGTTTTGTCCAGAAATGAGTTTAAAGAATTCAGTACTGAAATTAATTTTGGTTCTGGACTAGAACCAGCTGAATATTTCATTTCTCTCTAACACTAATAAAATTAAGGCAATGATACTGATTTATATTTTGTCTGTTTAAATTTTACACATAGAATTGATTTTACACTATAAATCACATCGAAGATTAGGAATGGTGAATTAAATTTTCTCTGTCCTCTGTGTTCACTAGTGATCCTTTAAGCACTACTATATCTCTCTAACATTGGACTTGATTTTATGCTGTGTGTAGTTAACTAGCATGTGGCAAGAAAGCTTATGGGCTGATGAAGCCTATTGTGGAAAACACCCATCAAGCCAGCCACCACTCATCATCCAGCCACATGTTTATTGTCACATGCATTATGAAATCAGCACCATGTAAAGCCAATCCAGATCCAGTGTCAGTCTCCTACCTATAATCTAGTCTGAAAGCAGCATTCAGCAAGTCAGTAATTACAAGTCAGAGTGACACAAACATCTCTGATAAAGGAATAATTATAAGCCTTTGTGATGTAAATGAAATCTGCTGCGGATCTTACGGAAAATGCATACTAAATCCCAGATATTTATGCTGGAACCAGCACATAATTGGCCTATCCAGTATAGGCACCAGACAGCGCCATCATAAGCCTGTGGCTCATTTTTCCTCATTATATCTTCCATTGGTTGTACAACTGGAAGATGCATTACCATAGAGTTTTTGCCCAATTACCAGAGTGTCACCCCAATGTCCCAGATGTGATGACATCACTTTCGGGTCACATGGGCAGCGATGTAGACACATTGTTGTACGTTGAATGGCCCTCCCTTCTGCTCCTGGTAAGTCCCTTCCTCCACCACCGGTTGCCCCAAGGGGAGGGTCCAGCAAAAAGAGAGAAGTGGAAGTCTAGGGCTTCTGGATAACATCACTTCTCTAGCAAGTGTGGGCTAAGGGCCATGAAGCTGGTAATATGGTCTGGGTGGATAGCCCCTGTTGTTGGAAAGGAAACTAGGCAGCTTTAAAACAACTAGGTGAATGGGCAATTGGAGTTAAGACCAAGGAAAACTGTTTTGATCCTGTTTGCTTCCGAACATTTCATACTTCGTTAGTGTTCTTTCAGTAGTAATGACTTTTTTGTTTAGGCTGTGACATTACATGGACTATTTGTTGTCTTTGTTCCCACAGATAATGGCCCCACAGGCAAGCGGAGGACTGGAACAGCTGCTGTGCATGTCACTGTGCTGGATGTTAATGACAATCGGCCCATCTTCCTTCAGAGCAGCTATGAGGCTACTGTCCCTGAGGACATCCCAGACTACAGCAGCATAGTACAGGCATGTAACAAAACTTTCCTTTTCAGAGGGTTCCAGGGGGGAGACAAAAACAAAGGGAAGCCATGCACTTTGCTACTCTCACTTCATCCCAGCTGTTAGCGGGAAACACAACAAAGACCTAGGAGATTTTGATATTAGGTCATGCCTCTGTACTATTTCCTTAAGTTCTTTCTTGTATCTGGCAGTCACTGTTGCTGTTGTGGAAAGGCTAATAACAGGAAGCTGGATTTGAGTCCAGTAGCAAATGGGTATTTTGAAATTATTATTAGCAGGGAATCCTGTTGCAAAAGGAATGCAACGAGCTCTAGAAAGAGGCCTCTCCTGGCCACACACAGGGTGCCCCCTCCCCAGCCTTCTCCTCCCTCCCCAGAGGTTGTGATGTGGAGGTGTTGCTGTTGTTAGAAAGGCTTATAACAGGAAACAGGATTTGAGTCCAGTAGCAAATGGGTATTTTGAAATTATTAGGGTATTAGCAGGGAAACTCATTGCAAAAGGAATGCAATGAGCTCTAGAAAGAGGCCTCTCCTGGCCACACACAGGGTGCCCCCCCCGCCTTCTCCTCCCTCCCCAGAGGTCGTGGTGGAGGGGAGACAGAATGGGCTGCAACTGCCTCCCTGCCTGGCCGCCTCTGACAGCCTCCTGGCCAGCTACACAAACCACCGCCCTGGCGGCTCAGGCATCACTGTGGAGTCATGCGCTGGAGGTGGGTGAAGGTGCACTAGGCAGCGGGCAGTGACTGGCTGCCCACCCGGCCACCTTAGGCGACTTCCTGTATAGCCACGTGGACCAGTGCCCCAGTGGTGTAGGCAGCGTCATGGAGTTGTGTGCCGGAGGTGCCAGAGCTCGGCGAAGGTGCACTCAGACCTGGGCACTCACTGTATGTCGGGTACGCCCTTGTCCATGGCCGGCTTTTTTTCCATGGTGCCACCTCCTGTCCCTCAGCCTGATGAGTCTCCAGGCGGTGAAGCGTCCTGCCCACCCATCAGATCCCAGCAAAATGAGGCTAAGATGCTGAGCACCACCTCTGTGGGCGGGACAACTCCAATTCAGGCAGCAACGCAGCCAGTGGATAGAGCCCCCTGGTGAGTGACACACCAGGGAGTGAACTGATTCGGCAGTGTATGGAATCTTCTGGAAAGAGTCCACGACCAAAACAGCTTTATATATAAGGAGAGGTAAGTTTTTGAGAGTCAAAGCTCCCTTCATCAGATGCAGGAAGCTGCGCAGCTTGGAAAGAAGCAACAGCACTTTGCCAACATTTTTTTTTTAAAAGAAAACCCACTTGAGTAGCTGGGGCTTTGGGCCTGCGAGCTAGCCATATTTCAGCATGGGGCTCATTGAGTTGCAGTGTAGATGGCATTAATGGGCTCCTGCAACAAACGTTGTGGAATATGGCCCCTGAACAATAAGCAGCAGGTTGTGCTGATTAGTCAGTCAATCGATATCTGGAAAGTCACATCTGGAGTGTAAGTGGTGATCTGACAAACAAATCTGCTTTGAGGGAGGCACTGGGTGAAGCAGTCCTTTCTTGACAGTGTATGCAAGTGTGTGAGTGCATACAAAGCATCTCTAAAAATAAAACTAGGAAAGAAGAATTTGGAGATTCAGGGGGTTTTGTTTTTGTTTCCCTCTATGGAGCTAACCCTCAGTGGAATGAATGGGTGAGAGAGAGAGCTAGCTGAATGAATGCATGCATTCATTCAGCCTCTTTCTCCTTTCCAGTTTCTCTTCAAAACCAAATGTTTTTGTAGCAAGGTCTAAGGAGTGCTCTCAGCAAGCTCAGAGAAGACTATTTTTGTTCTTGAATCTGCTTCTCTGGTCTGCCAAGCATATAGTGCGTTAACAGAACTATGTTACAATCACATAGAGATTTTTGAAAAGCAAGTGGTCAACCATGTGAGAACTTTGGGATAATACATTCAGAACTGGAACAAAAAATGCCTTTGTAGAGCCACACACTTAACCTGTAACTAAACTGCAGAAGGTGATGGGAACACATTGGGCAGATGGGTTCACTGTGGCAAGAGGATCTGTGATGCCTGATTTGTGACTGATAATGAGGAGGTTCTCAAAAGTAGAGTGGACTCTGTATTGCTATCACTTGTAATGCTCGGAGGGGGGGATACACGCATGTACACCAGCTGTCCCTTTCATATGGAATTGAGCTGCTACCATACTTCAGCCTAGCTCACCATATTCCATGAGCAATTGAAAGAAGTGCTTGTCTTTGCCCAGCAATCACCTGACAGACCCCTGAAGTTCAATCAACCTGGTGTTCCATTTGCATCCCATCTAATTTCCATGGAACTTGGGATAGCTGTGAAGTGTGTTAGGCTTAGACAGTGTTTTGCCAGGATTTGAGCAGAGTCCAAAAGTCTGTCCCGTGTGGTTCATTTGATCCTAGCCTCACCTTCCGCCATCCCACCATATAGTAGAAGAGGATATTGTGTTCAGCAACTGGGTGAAAAGAGCTTCCTGTGGACCATTGAAGATGTTCCTGCTCCTAATATAAAACTTGCAGATGAATCCCTTATAATTTCAACATTCCTCCTCACCACCCCAAATAAAATTTGCAGAGGCGACTGTTTCATAATGTTGATTAGGCCCTTTTGATAGTTTTAAAATTAAAATATGTCAGTGCATCAAAATATGATTTTGTATGGAAATGACATAAATACTTCAAGATTTGCTTTTGTCTATGTAGTAACATTCTGAATGTCTCGTGATATTAGCATAAGAGTCTGCAATGGTGAGGAATGCAGTAAGAAAGACAACTGGACCTAGTAGTCAAGGCCTCCTGTAGATGGTACTAAATGCTTGATCAAATGAAATGTACTCTAAGGATGTCTGCAAGGAGAGTGTAAATTCCTGTGAGAGAAACTCACTTTAAAATATTGGAGAGATTGCTTTTCTGACCAAAACAAACAGAAAGTCAAATGCAGCAAAGTGAAATAAACAGTGTCACAAACCAAATTGAGGAAACACACAATTCAATCTTTTTAGCTTAAAATCAGTTTTACAACTGAAACAAGAGGAGGTATGTTCTCTCTTCACTCAAAGTTTGTGTTTTGCTTGCTTATGTGATAACTCCCCATAAGTAATTGGCAGCACCATGGCCTGTAGATGTTCTGAGCTTGCTACTCTGCTTTGATTCAGATGAGTAGCTGTCTTGTGCCAAAGTATTTCAGGAAATGTGAGTACTTAGGTTAGGTGCCTAAATTGAGTCTGCTAGATATTACTCAACCACTTTAGCCTACTAAATATGCCGAATATTAAAAACCCACCATATCAACAGTACAAGAATTACTGTTAACGAGCTGTGAACCAGAAAGCCCCCCCATTCTCTGTCATTATGGTAGTAGGTGGCCTTAAGTAAGTTATTATTGCTCAACTTCACTACCAACCCACCACAACCCTACCTCAGATATGAGGATAATCATACTGGCCTACCTTCCAAGACATACCAGGAGTCACAGACCATTTGCAAGCTGGATCCTGATTCTATTCACTAACCGCAGTTAGGTGCTGCAAGACAGGCTGTGATAGCAACCAAGTCTGGCAGGGAAGCAGGAGAAAGAGCGACAATACTGAAGCCAGGATTCAAGCCGAGATTCACTGCCTGTGAACCAAATCCTTATTTCATTAGCTAACCACCATGGTTTCACGTTACTTCTGAGCTGACCCTGTATAAATGCCAAGGATGGTTTTTGCATTTATGGCACTACAGCTGAGCTTTTTTTCTGCTGTGCAGCTACTTCAGCAGCATACAAACCCCTCACAGTTGGGTTTGCTTGGCTTTGAGGCCAATTTAAGTATTTTTATTCAGCATTTGCAGGAATTGGTGATTATACGTGTATGTGTAACAAAGCATTGAATATTATATTGTAAGCAGAAAAGATGGAATTGCAGTGAAATCAGTGTAGCACACACCTGTTTAGAAATAAGCCAACTGAGTGTGTACATTTATGTGCACCAAACCATTACACAGTTACAGTGAAGGACCTCTTAAATATTAGGCATCAGTCCAAATATAAACCAAGCTAAGCATATAAATTAAACAATACACTAAAAAGTTAACATGTGTTAGCAACTTTAACTATACTTTTTTCGCACACTGCTGATTCCATAGCTTCCTTCAGTTATAGAGAGTCAACTTGCCAGATGTTCCATGTGGTCTGGGTGGACACCTGCCCCATCCAGCACTCTTCAAGAGTCACTGCTTCGGGAAGCTTCACTATGATACACACATCAGCCTAAGGAGCAGCAGGCACAATCCAGGGGGAAAGCCCCATTTAAAGCTATATTAGTAAAGTGCTTAATTGTGTGTTTGTCCCGCTGACACTTATGACAGCTTTGTCTGGGTTTCACCAAATGTCTCCATATTTTATAGGACATAACTTTGAGTGTGTGACAAAGCTATTCTCGTTTGTCTTTCTCCACCTTTGAATTGTCCTTTTCACTAGCTTCCATGAAGAGGTGCAACAAATAGTTAAAAGACAAATCAATTTCCAATGTTATCTCTCCTTATATATAATTGAATAGTGGGTGCCAAAGTTCTAATTCTAAAATGCACTCCCTTAGTGTATGGCTGATGGCACTGCTCCTCAGCATATATCGCTACCAATCAGAAGGCAAAGCCCGGGTCCCACCCACACCACAACTGCTGCGACAACCTGGTCTTTTGCATATGGAAGCTGATTGGACTTCACTCCATTCCACACCTCAAACTCCCCCCCCCGCAAGGCAGTTGGAATGTCAGTTGCATATGGAACCTGCTGTATTCTGGTGGTGTGCAGGTCCCAGGTTCATGTTTTAAAAGCAGACTGACACTGTTTGCCCAAAGCCAGAGCACTCTCCCAGAGCCTCTTTCTAGATCCCGTTGTATTTATTTCCACAACGGGCCTTATTTCTAGTAGAAATATATCCCTGAAGTAACTCCCTTTGGCAGAGTTAAGGACTAGGATATACCAACAGAGATATCTGTTTCCTGAAAGGTATAT